AGATAGATAGATAGATAGATAGATAGATAGATAGATAGATAGATAGATAGATATAATGATATAATAGATAGATAGATGGATGGATGGATGGATGGATGGATCGATAGATAGATAGATAGATAGAGTGGTTCTCTTTGCCACAAATCAACCCATCCATGTTTTTGCCCGTTGGACCGACATGCTAAATACTGGCCGTTTAGATCCGTTTACATAGCTCTTTCTATTAAACTTAGGTCGAGAAGGCCAGCTTGGCCTCACAGGATCCCGAGGCAAGGTACTTTCTCCAATGGGTTTTCACATGCCCAGTCGAGACATGTTGAAACTGATTGAGCAACAGGATCTTTCATGGGTAAAGCAGGCTCCAAGCCTATCCCAGCAATGGGTTTTCTTTGTTTTGAGCAAAGCATCTTCACATGTTTTTCTCACCTTTCCTGTCACAACGCAACATGTCACAACCGGCTGCAGGAGTCGGTTGGTAGCGTGCTGCATGCAGCCGCCCGGCGCCAGAGCCAAGAATTTGCCGCCGGCCGATCCAGTGCGCCCAGCCACGTTCCGGCAGCTTGGCTGATGTGTTCACTTCCATTTCGCTGTGTCTCACAAGTGTTTTCCAGTGCCTTTGCAAAACCTGTGCATTCGCGCGAGTTCTTTTTACACGTACTTTTTGCATTGTTCCTGGCTGTTGTTTGATTTCGCTTTTCAGCGAATCAGGAGCGGTTCACAGGAATGTCCTTAAAGAGCTTCGGCATGCATCTCGGCCGAAGATACCAGACTACAACGAGAGCCTTTGGTGCCACGAAAACGGGGGTCTTTCGGTGGTCGAACAACAAATTCTTCATCGCTGAGGACTTCCAGCATGCCCGGAACGAGCGGTGCGCCTCGAAAAGCCAAGGAGAGAAAGGATGGCAGGCCAGGAGCGGTTTCTTGTAGAAGGATTTCATAAAATTGGAAAGGCTAAAATGATGAAGAGCTCGTCCCTTTCGGCCCACCCAGATCAGTTGAATCCAACTCATCATATCAGCGACATAGACAAAATCCCGCAAAATCTAGCATGATGCGTTGGCCCCCATATACCTAAGACAGACAAGAGCATGCGTGCCGTGCGGTGGCTCCTATGGTTGAGCCTTGCGGATGGTTTCGTGCTTACACAGCACGAAGGTGCATGCAGCTACAGTGAAATTTATCCGCAGCAGTATGTCGCCTACAAGACCTCGGAGCTCTCCCCTGAGAAGCTGACAGGGGATCTGACGAAAAAGGCTTGGCGGGAGGTGGCGTGGACACAGGACTTTGTGGACATTTCCACCAGAACTAGACCGTGGCTTCGAACGCGTGCAAAGATGCGTTGGGATGACAGCTTCCTCTACGTAGCTGCAGAGATGGAAGAGCCTCAACCATGGGCGACTTTGCGAGAGCATGATAGTATCATTTACCATGATAATGATTTTGAGGTGTTCGTTGATGCCAACGCAACCACCCACTTTTACAAAGAGTTTGAGATGAATGCCTTCAACACAACTTGGATGCTGATGATGAACAAGCCCTATGGGGATGGTGGCTTTGAGAATTCCACACGAGTGGACCCCAAGGGCGGCTGGACCATGGAGCCACCGTTGCGCTGTGCTGCCCAAGTTTTGCCGGAAGAGGCCCTGAATCATCCCAGCACGAAGGGTAGGCATTGGACAGCTGAAGTTGCGCTACCTCTGGCTGAGCTGGTGCAGGAAACAGGTGCCCAGCTACCGAAGCCGGGAACCTTCTGGCGAATTGGTTTCAGCCGTGTGGAGTGGCACCTAAAGGTGAACTCTTCAACTGGAGCTTATGAGAAAAGCCCCTCGTGCCAGTCATGCCCAACACCAGGAGGACCCCATGAAGACAATTGGGTGTGGTCGCCACAGTATGAAATTGCTATGCACTTGCCTGAGCGCTGGGGTATTTTGCAGTTTGCGGATTTGAACGTCAACGCGACGAAGAGCGCCTACTACTTAGAGTGGCCGAGCCGAAGTGCTGCAATGGCAATCTATTATGCACAACATGCCTATGCCTCCAAGCACGGAGGCAACTTCACCGCGAAGCTGGGTGATTTGTTGCCATTTTCCTCGGACCCATTTCCTTTGTGCTCTGAAGCAGAGGTGAACATTACTGTGAGCAATGGCAAGTCTGCCTTTTTTGAGGCCAGCGTGAGGCCACCAGATGTTCCACAGTACACTGCAACAATTCGCAGCGATCGATTCCTGACAGTTGCAAGGCAGTAGCATGTCCAATTGGACAGCCACGGGTACAGGTCGTAAAGGCGTGCTTTGCCTTGGCGATTTGTGCAGTTGTTTGTGAGCCGCATTTGCAGGTGCCTGCTGATTTTCCACGGACTATATTTTGCAACCTTTGCAGCGTTTCACGTAACAATTGTGAACCAGCGAGAAGGAAATGGAGACTGCGACTGCCTTCCGACTTGTGTTTTGTTGAAGCGTCCAACCACACATACACACACACACAGCTCATGTTAGGCAAGGGGTACGATCGACCAAATCTGCAGGTCGATGGAGCTCATGGACCTGGCTTTTTCACAGAGGATGACTGTAGTGGACGGGCAAGTCATGGAGCATTACACTCCGCACCCTGGCAACCAACGTTTGAAAGATTGCAGCCGGAGGCTATTAATAGGTTGGAGGCCATCGCTATTAGGTTGGAGGCCGGGCCATCGCTATCGGTAACAAAGAAGACAGAAAAGGAAGAACACCTAGTATAGTTCGCTCTTAGTTTGGTGGTTCCGAGCTCAGGATTTCCCTGCCCTATTTTACTGTCGAAGAGGAAGGTGCCGGAACTTCGGACGGAGCTGCCCAGGCGAAAACCAGGCCTGATCAAGGGAAGAAGCTTTGGTGAAAGAGAGTAAGTTCTCACTTAACCAAATAGTGATGACGGCCAAACTGCCTTTGGTTCAGACTGACTTGCCCAGGCCAAAGCTTGTCCACATTGATGAAGCAAACTCCAAGGCTGCAAAGAAGCTAGTGGGCTCACATGAGGAGTGCAACAACCTTTGAACGTTTGAAGTTCACCTTGGGGCTTCCAACCGGTTTGGATTTGAATGTCAGGAGCTACTGGAAGACAGCTACTTTCTGATGCAGCTGCCATGTGTACTTCCAGAAATGCGCAACCCAGCGACTGAGCCAAATCTGTGAGTCTTCCCTTCGCTCTTAATTTTCCTCGCCCAGTTGGAAAAGCCAGTTGTGTAAAGCTAGGACGACGAAGTCTTCCGGGAGCAGGAAGATGCCCTGTCAGCAGGCTCAGGTGGGAAGCCTTTGTGACTGTCTTGCATGTGCTGGGGCAGGGTGTTTGGGAATGGTTGGGAGTCGGGATGCTGGGATGCAATCCTGAAAGGCTCGACCATTACTAGACTTCCAGATGGCAAACTCGGCAAGCTCAGAATCTACAAGCTTCTGGGCACAACCTGTTTGCACCAAATGTCTCCCCTAGCATCAGCGGGCACTGGAGTTATTCCATATCCCTTTTGGTGCCCAGGTCTGGGAAGGTCCGAATGGAGATTGGTGGTGTCTCCTTTTGTGTTGATCAAGGCTGTGAGACCTTCTTCCAGCAGGACAGAATTTCAGAATGGTTGGATGTTGGATGGTCTCATGTGGTTCCCATGAGTTCCCCACTTCCAAAGAAGTGGACATCGTGTTCTGAGGACCTGGCTTTGGTTTGCCCTCTTGCTGGTGAATTCTTCAACCTGGGGCACATCAACACGAGGCAGTCATGAGGTCTTGTCAGGCTCACATAAGAAGGGCATGGCTGAGTGCTAGGATGGTGCTGACGCCTGACCTAGACTCCATTCTGAAAGATTTGCCTGAGCAAATGCCGGTGGATGAGGCCTGCTCCCAAGTTGCAAGTCTAGGAGCATCTAGTAGCATCCCAAGCGTTGCAACCGTGTGAGGATTTACCTGAAGCTCCGAAAGTGCACAGAACATCAGAGCGCAAGGACCTGGCCATAGTTTTCCTGAGAGGATTTGAATTGAACGGATTGCTTTGTGCCTGGTTTGCCTCTGAACCATTTGCAGAGTGTTGCTCACTCGTGAAGCACTCATTATATAATTGTAGGAACGCGCTGTGTGCACATATCATTTTGGCGCTTAGACATCCAAGTCGTCCAAGCATAAAACGATTGTTTGGGTCGAACATGTCCAAGCACTGCGTGGCAGACACGATTGAAACATCCCATGCATCCAGGATCCACAGGTGCCCCCTTTGGCACAAGCCAAAGCAGTGAAGGCAGTGAAGCTGTGGAACGCAACTTTTCAGTAACCTCAATGTCCTCTTGTCATACGCAGGTGGCTCCTGCTCGAGCTCGCGGTCGGAGATGCTTCTTGTCTTCGTTTGGATTTTGTCACTGTGGCAGTGTCACATCTGCACCGGAGCCGGATGACTGCAGCAAGGACACGAAGATCACGAAGCACAAGTCACCCATAGTGACAGATGGCCATAGTGACTTGGTGTTTCACCACCACCGAGCCGCAGCTGATAGTTCAGGGCAAAAGGCATGGAACGACACGATGATTTTTGCTGCGAAGGGGGACAGCATTGAAGCATGACATGAACACCACAAGCCAGCTTAAAACGAGATCTATGTTACAGCCAAAGCCCTCGTGGACTTTTGCTGGACAGTGACACCGACAGGGTGACCGATCCAGTCTCCGCTGCCAGGACATCAAGGACTTCCAAGCCGCTTTAGCTGACTTGCGCTGTGGCTGGCGGCAAAGCGCTCTAGAGCCAGAGACCAGTTGCTGTATGGAGGCGTTTCTGCAGCGCTTGGACACCTGTGCATATCATTGGGAAAGTCCTGCTTTCAGGCCTTGGTCAGAGCAACATTTGCTTGCTGGCCACTGCGGAAAATGTCTCTTCTGCGCTTGCCTCAGTCGGATCGACCCGCTCGACCAGTCGACCTGAGTCACCCAGGCGGCTGCGAATCCATCCGTCAGCGGAACTCTCAGGCCTAGGCGCCCTGAAGGCGGCGGGGCTTCGTGCTTTTTGCACGGTGTGCGCATCCCTAGAGCTAAGACGGTGTGAAGATGTTGGTGCACAACATGTGTAGAGGTGTAGGGTAGACAGGTCCCAGACATACTTCGCATTTCGGAGCAAAACTCGATCACTGTGAGGCTGAGGGTGGCAAAGTCTACCAAGCGTTGCACCGTGCAGCGCATCAGATTGCTGAGCTGCGAGCAGAGCACCGGTGCCTTGTAGAAGATTTGAACCGCGGGGAGATCTGCAGTCTCCCAGCCCAGAATGCCCTCTACATCCCTCTACAGCTTAGCAGTGCTTCAAGCAGTGCGAATATGAGTTTGGTAGCTGCTGTTGGCCGCCGCTAGTAACTGCTACAGCTTGCCTTGTGGGCCCACTTGTTGGCTTCCGGTGGATTGGCGTTGGAAATCCAAGCAATTGATTCGCAAGTGCACCTTCAGCGCCGTGGGCTGCATGAGGTCGGTCCACTCGCCGTTGAAGAGAAATGTCAAGGAGCTGTCGCTAATCGAAGCTTGCCTGGAAGCCGGTTCTTTAGCTTAGGAAGCTAAGCTTGCTAGAATGTCTTAGATGCCCTGAGATGCCCTGAGGCTTTGGGTTTGAGCTTGTTGAATGCCTTAAAAGAGAGGCCACTGGAGGTTAGAAGGTACTATGTAGAAATGATCAGTTTGGGGGATGACATGCCTGAACTAGGATTCTTTTTTTGCCACGCGATGATTGATGCAAGGTGAAGAGCCAAGACATCCTACTGCGGGCCTTGACGCGAAAGCGCTCACCCAGGAGCCTCCAGGTTGCCAATGCATGCCAATGCCCTAAAGCCAGTGAAGGTGAAGCAATGTGAGCACCCCCCGCCTGCAAGAACGTAAATTCGAAGTCCAGCGTTCTCCAACTTTCAAGCTGGTGAGCGGCAAGGAGAGGCACACTTCAGTCTGTGGCTGAAGAGGATGAACGGGAGAAGCATTCTCCAACAAAGCTGCTTGGACACAGGGAGGAGATAGGGGAAGAGATCGGAAGAGATCGGTGGTGGCTCAGAAGAACTTGTCGATTTTGCCCTCACATTTTGCTTTGTCGGCGGTTCTTCGGTTTCAATGCAGCCATGAGGCTGCCCTCAGTGGGCACTCATCAAGAAGGAGCAGGGACAGCCCTTCATTCAGAACCTTGGTGGCAGAAGTAGTTGAATGCATGTTTAGGTGGGAATGGAACCACAGGGTTGCGATGTGGTTTTGGAGGAAGGTGGTGGTAGCTTTATATATGCAACATTAGCGTCCAAATAAACCAGAAATGATGGGGGACACTGAGATAGGAAGGTGCCGTGCGAGAGAAAAAACATGAGACAACATGAGGAAGCAACAGCGCAGCTAGCATTTTGTAGGAGTTCTTTCGGGCTAGCAGCTAGCAGGCTGCTAGCAGTCCTGTGAACAACCATGAAGCCAAAAAACGTCACCGAGTCATCCAAGTGCTCCGCTCCGCTGGTGCCACTTGGTAGGCCTTTCCAGCCTCAAGCTCGGATCCGACGCTTGGCTTGAAGACGGGGTGATGATCTCTTAGTCTTATGTCCTCGTCCCCCCTACCCAGGACTCGAGCCATCCAAAAAAGTCAAAACTAGAAGAAGAGGTTTTCATCAATGTTTGCTTTCAACCTGTCAACCTCCTTGGTCTTGAGCTGCTGAAGGTATCCGATTCATCGTGTCAGAAGCGCCACTTGGCACGAACACAGCTGGGTGACCTTCCTCCAACTTGCGGCTGAAGAGCTTGTGTGTGGGCGGGTTGTACGATAGCAGCAAGCTTCCAGAGATGCTATGGTTCACGAACAGTTCAGACTGCACCACCAGTTTCGTGGACCAACTGAAGCTTATGCCAACAAGAACAGCTAATCACATCTCCAGTGACACAGAAAATGACCTTTTGCTTTCGTTTGATCCTCATCCCATCCCATCGTCGACCGATCGGATCGTTCGTTCAGGATAGCACCTTGTCCGACTCCTCGATGGGCACCATGAGTCCGCCCATGTCGGTGAACAGCACAACGCCTCGGCCCAGCATTTTGGGCCGGGAAGTTCACAGGAGACAGTCGGACGCGTGTGGCGACGCCCGACGCCCACAACGGTGCGTGATGGTGCGTGTGGGGGGTTCTTCTTCAAGCACAGCATGGGTCTTTTTGGGGTCCACAGATGAGAAGCAAGAACATCCAAACAGTATGAAGACTAAAGCCTGCGAACCATTCTGGTGCAGGAGCCGGGAAGTTAATGAAGTTGCCGATCAGCTCTCAATATTGTTCCTTGGAACTAAATATGCCATGGACTTTCATATGACACCTTTTGCGAGAGGCTCAAGCTTTCGACACTAGTGCACAGTGACATTCTCCTGTGACCCACTGCAAAGCAATGACCCTCAGTAGACAGTTGCCGCATGTCACCTGTTTGTAGTCCCTGCCGATTCTTGGTGTTTGCACCGCTGCGATGACCGTCCAGTGTATGTCTGCCCCTCAGCTGCTGGGAGTTCGTTGCAAGCTTTGAGTCCTTGATGCCTAGCAGGATCATATTTGCAATGTTTCTCGGGTGGCTCAAGGGGGAATGCACCCAGACGGGACCGGCTCCACCATGGGCCGACTTGGATGGGCGGCTGGCGGCTCCCTGTTCGCCTTTGGGTGCCTTTTAGCAGTGACGAGGTGGACAAGGCTGGAGCTGACTGAGAACGACCGAGATCCTTGATTTCCATTACTTCCGCCCCTTCTTGAGGCATAGGCTACGTTGGCATGGTCGATTTCACACGCGTGTCCTGTATATAAATCTGGGCAGCCTGAGTCCACCAGAGCTTGCCAACAGTCCGCTTGCGGTTGATCCCCACCACGTCAGCTTTAGGAGTTATATAGCATGAGCAAGCTTTTTCGCCGGGGCTCAAGGTTCGATGCCCGCAGCCTTTTCGGTTAGCTCCGTACTGGGGCTACTTAGGTCTGGCTTGGAGAGCAACTGGTGGGGGCTCGCGTGCCCTTATCACTGCGGGCCATCTTCGGCCTGGTCCCTTTGCCTGGCCTTGCTGGCTGGGTTTGCTCTTGGCATCCTTTCAGGACTCGCCCTCTCTGTTCTCCTGGCCCTCAAGCTGGGGATCCTCTCCTGTCCTTCTGCCCTTGATCCTCCTGAGGCTCATCGGCCAAGGCCCTCTGGAGGCCTCTCACCGGGTGCGGATCGCATCCTAGCGTATTTGCATGAGTGACTCGGCTGTTGAACTCCTGAGGCTTCAAGTTCAACAACTGGTGTTACGGGTGGACATCTTGGAGAGGAAGGTGGGCGAGCTGGAAGGAGGAAAGCGCCACGGCTCCGTTGATAGCTTTGAATTGGTCAACGCGCCCCCGAGGGAATCAAGTCCGGCAAGGACGCACTCGAGCTCTTCGACCTACAACTCCCTTGCAGGTGAGATCCCTGATCTTTCTCCTGAAGCTCTTCGCCTTTGTGCTAACCTTCGCGGAGGGAGGCTTTCCTTCAAACAGAGGGCAGAGAGGGCTTGGTCTGCTGGATACTGGTGCAGGTTCGCCCTCGAAGGTCGTGTGGGCAAGCCAAGGCCGTCATCCCCTTGCGATCTCGCCAACACTACCTACGTGGTCGTCAAGGCCGAGGGACTGGTTGAGCCGGTCATTTGTGAAAAGGCCAGCGATTACCGTGCATTGCTGGGCGACTTCAGGTCGGGTGGCAGCCTATCCCACGGTTTCGCTTCGAAAGCGGAAGCAAAGGTCTACTGCCTGGGTGTGGGCATCCCATACCCTGAGAAGGTGTACAAATGGAATTAGATACAGTGGCAACTTTGGTGGAGGACAATGTGGAGCTCTTCCGTTTGTTCTGGCCACCAGATCCCCTCCTTGTGCAGTCCCGGCCAGGTCTATGCCTTGTGGTTATGAAGAGGTCATCTGCAGGGGGGGGCATGTTG